AGGTTTCACCAGCACAGAGAAGAGGAGCAGGATCACCTCACTTGACCGACTGATCACACAACATTTGATGCAGCTCAGGATACTTTTAAAAGTGACGGGAAGTACTGCCTGCAGGAACTGGCAGAGGGTAGATTTAGAATAGATATTAGGAAGAAATTCTTTACTCTGAGGGTGGTGAGACACTGGAGCAGGTTGCCCAGTGAGGTTGTGAATGCCCCTTCCCTGGAAATGTTCAAGACCAGGCTGGATGGGACTTTGAGCAGCCTAGTGTAGAGGGAGCGTCTCGCTCCAATTTGTAGGAGGGAGAGGAGGTTCTTTTTAATATCTGCATACCTTGCATGCGATTAAGAAACAACTGTTCAAATGTTGGTCCGACCAATTTGTTACAAATCTTAACCAGGGAGATGGGGAAGGGGAGGAGGGCGATAGGAAAGATAGGAAAGAAGAAGCAAGGAGTCTTTGTAGGAAGCAAGAGGGAGACAGTCACCACCATGGATCCAGCGTGGTTCAGAGTTCAGCCATTCATCTTCAGTCGTGGTGGGTTTTGGGCGTCGTTGTTCTGTTGATGACGACAGTGACCATGGCAATGATGGCCCCTTTTCAGTAGTAGTACCAACTCTTTTATAAGTCCAAAGTGGTTGAGTCAGCTCTCCTTGTAGTGGCAGCTTCTGGCTCTGGGATCTCAGCAGAAACTCCTTTGTTCCCATCTTCCGGGCCTTGCCAGCAGATAAGAGGGAGCAGGGATGCCCTCTGCATCCTGTTTTCCACAGGACACGATGGTATCATTCCCCATATTTCCCATACCAAGCTAGAGCTATTTAGTCATAGGCCAGATCTTCTTAGGGTCTCATTTGTCAATTTGAGTCCTGACACTCTGTGGGCCAGTGATGGTCGAGATGCCCCAGTATCAACTAAAAACACAACCTCTTCCCTCTCAGGTCCCACTCTCATGTTTACAAAGGGCTCCTGGTGGGACCAAATTTTTGAAAGCCCCAGATCCCCCTATTCTGAATTCAAAGCTGCTAGTAACTTTTTCTCCCTCTTCCACTCAGGGCAGTTTCTTCTTATGTGTCCTGGCTTACTGCATTTAAAACATTTCCCAGCACTCTGCTCCAACTGGGGCCTCACTCAATACCCTTGGCATCCTTCCTCTCTTTGCTTCCCTCCAGGGCCCAATTTCCCTTCCATGTTCTTTTCTCCATTACCCGTTCATTTTTTCACCACATGTTCCACTGTGGAAACCATTAACTTTGCCTTTTATTTTTCTTTCTCATCTCCCCTTCTAACATACACTTTCTGAGCCTCTCGTAAGAGCTCCTCCAGGGACTTCTCACTCCATCCTTCTATCTTCTGAAGCCTCTTTTGCACATCTGGCCACGCCTTAGTTACAGAATTAACTTTTAGGAGCCGTTGGGCTACAGGATCCTCAGGATTTGTCCCTGAGTATTTTCTCATTCTGTCTCTAAGCCTTTCAAGAAATTCACTAGGGGATTCTTCCCTATTCTGCTGAACCTCGAATGCCATGGTAAAATTCTGGGACTTGGGTATCGCCTCCCTAATCCCGGTGATCATTATGTCCCATAAGTCTTTCATATTTTGCCGATGTTGTGGATTATTACTGTCCCAGTTAGGGTCTTCCTCTGAGTATTTTTGCTCCGCCTGTACCACCTCAGGACACCCAGCAGGGTTATTCCTTTCCCACTCTTGCATAGCTGCCCGCCTAATCATACCTCTTTCCTCTCCAGTAAACAATATGTCCATAATAGACATCATTTCCATCCATGAGTAGAAATTTGGCCCCAGAAATTGATCTAATTGCTCTGCTACTCCTATAGGATCCTCAGTTATGGATTTCATTTCCTTCTTAAAATTCCTTACTTCTCCACTAGTGAGTGGGGAATTTACATAGCCTATTTCCCCTTGTCCCAGTGGAACCTCCCATAAAGGATACATGGGGGCCTTAGTATGGTTAGTTTTAGGGAAGGGAAAATTTTCAATATCCGTTTTACATTGTTCTAACTCTTTCCTGAGCCCAGCATACCTCCCCTCCTGTGAAATGACCCCATGTGCTTCCCCATTTTCTCTTTCTGGGTCTACAGCCATTGCCCTTGGGGCTACATTGGGGTTATATGGGGGAGGTAGATTCTTTAGAGGGTCCCATTGATTAGTTCTCTTTTCTAGTTCCTCACCTTCCTGTTCTGGACATTTCCTTACTAGTAACAGACTGGCTTCTTGAATCCAACAAGCAGTGTAGTCTGATTCCTCCTTTGAAAAGGGGGTTTTATTCTTTACATATGAATTCAGAATCTGACACACCCAATCTTCATCAGATTCATATTCTGGCCAGAATATTGATTTTCCCTGTATACCCTGTTTTTTCCCCCTTGCCTCCCCTATTTCCTACTGGCTGGGTACTCCAGGTTCACAATCTTATCAGAAGGCAATTACATTTGTTAATTACTTGTTAATTTATTTGTTATTTGGTGTCAGTCCTATCATCTCCAAGATGTCTCAACACTCTCCTTGTTCATTATTGATAAGGTGATTTTCTTCAGAGTCTTTGTTAAACAAAGAGTACAGAGGGAAGGTGCCCAATCCTCCTCCACTCCTTCTTCAGGAACTCCCTGAGGCATGTAACGAATTGTCCCTTTTAAATTGTGCAGAACACTGTTGCAATGTTGTCTTGCTCCAGTTTATAGGAAGGAGATGAGGTTCTTTTAATATCTGTATATCCGGCATGAGATTAAGAAACAACGGTTGATATGTTGGTCCAACCAGTTTATTATAAATCCTATAAAGGAGGGCGATAGAAAAGATAGGAAAGAAGCAAGAACTGCATAAAGTGGGGATAGTCACCACCAGGATCCAGCAGCGGTCCCGTTGCACGACGTTTCGAAGGTCCACGGCAGAAGCAGCAGGGGGGGGAGCAGCAGCGTGGCCGGCTTTGGGCGGCAAGCAGATAGCAGGAGACAGTCGCAGAGCCAATCCGGGAGCAAGCAGCAGCGCTCAGGTAGCAGGCCCAGGAGAGTCTGTCAGCATGCGGGAATTCCGTAGTGAGGAATCTGATGTCAGACACCCGTCCTCATGGTTTTCGATTCCGCTTTTATCCTACTTGTTCTCCTGCCTGTGTGAAATCCCTGGGCGCTTGAGTTGAGTCATGTGAGTAACCCCTGAGATGGCCATCATCCTGAGATAAGCCCACACAAAAGAGCACTTCAAAGCCATTTAGCTGCAGCTCATCTCTCTCTCCTTGCCCCGGCCTTGTCCATCTGTGTGCCCCAGACAAAGGATTTCACAACCCTTGCCCAGGATTTGTGCATCAAAGTTCTCCAGAAAAAGGATTTCACAACCTCTGCCCAGGACTTGCCTGGACTGGTTCATCTGTGTCCCCAGTAAGCTTTGAGAAAATGATGTTTTACAGAATAATATCTTACAAATGTGTGCGGCATATATTCTCAATGCTGGCTATACATAAGTTGTTACTAGCTTATATGTATATATATACATACATATTACTTTACTTACATAAGTTGTTACTAGCTTATATGTATATATATACATACACATTACTTTACTTATATACCAAGTATGTGTTGTTGGGGAAGATTTATCTAGAGGATTAGCAATGAAAACTTATCAGAGAACCCCAATAAAGTAGAAAGGCCCCTGAAAAGAACTATTAGTTCTAATAAAGGACCCAAACGGTAGAGAGGCCAGAAAATTAACAAAATTCTTATTTTGTTCTGATGCAGAAACAACATTCAGTTCCCACACTGCTCTGAAATGAAAAGGAAGAATTTTTTCTGACACTCAGTGCTGTTGTCTTCTGTAGCCCTTAGGCACTCAAGACTGGTGAAATAGCTAATCTCTTTACAGAAAGTCTTTAGAGTTATAACTTGATTATCTTGAAGCAGTGTGAGGGAGGAGGCTTTTGACTGCTACCATAGGCTGAGACAAATAATTTCCTGGTGCTGAAGTTCAGATTTCTGTTTACAGTTAATGTATGATTTTAGAAATTTCTTGAATTCAGGGTCAGTATCAAGAGGGAAACCTTATTTTCAGAACAACATGTTGAAAGTTGAGACTATTATTCTTGTGATGATGCCGGCTGAATCATTAGATGGTAGATGAAGTTTTCTCTTTTCACAGCTCTTGAAATTTGGTGCAGACCATGTTTGTTCAGTCATGGTCAATCATGTCTTAATATCGTGAAACAAGACTGATCTACTCACTTGGGCGTCCCAATCATATATTTGGAGCTGGCTTCATTTCTTGTTTAAAAATAACTCATAAACACATGTCTTGTTTATTCTGTTTTGTTTCTCTACTGGTACTTTTATTGACTACAATTTGTGTTTATCACTTAGAATTGCTTACACGGGACCACAGAGTAGTAGCCTACAAGCTGCAAAGCTTTTTTTCTTCCAAAGTTGAATAGTATATACTGCAAAATGCTGCACAGATTTAAGACCAGAAAGAACAGTAGCGCTGCTCTTCCAGTTAACAGCAATGCACTTTTGTGAAAAGAAATTGCAATCTCTGCAAGTGCTAGGCATACCTTGGAATTATATGTAATATCAAACATCTTTTAAACAACGGTGACACAGGGAAGCTTGTAAATGTTCTGCAAGGATAGCTGTTCCTTTCAAGGCAGTATTCTAAATACTGCTTCTTTAATCTAGAGCTTTATGAGAGGTTTAGATGAAAGTTGCTGTCAACAGTTTAGGGGCTGGTTCAGCCCGGTTCTGTGACTAGCAGGACAGAGGGGTTTCACAAATCCACCCCTCTGGAAAAGGGAAACGAGGATGCCAAAATAATTTTAAAAAGCTGCAATGATCTGAGGAGAAACTAATTTAGTGATATGTGCATTATGGTATATAATAATGGTATTGAAATACAAGATAACACAGTATAATATAATATAATTAGAATTGAAGCTAATATATCGAATATAATGAGAGAGAGTGTCCAAAAGGTGGATAGACCTCACTGTAACACTGAGGTGAGATGCACAGTCCGGTTGAGCAGCAGGGAGGAGAGCCTGGCAAAGAAGAGAGAGGTCAGATGACCTACCAAGGCCTTATATCTGCTCCCCTTGAGCTGAAATGATAGCAACACAGAGAAGAGGAGGCTCGGGGTGACCTTATTGCTCTCTACAACTGCCTGAAGGGAGGTTGTGCTGAGGTGGGTGTTGGTCTCTTCTGGTTAACTGGCGACAGGACTAGTGGGAATAGCCACAAGCTGTGCCAGGGGAGGAAAAATTTATTCTCTGAAAGAGTGGCCAGGCACTGGAATGGGCTGCCCAGGGAGGCGGTTGAGTCACTGTCCCTTGTTGGAAATGTCCAAATAACTTTTGTCGGGACGGTATCTCTGATAAAGCAGAATTTATTCGCTATTGCAATGGCGGGCAACCTATGGACACAACATGACAGCCTTTATACCCTGTTTACCCTGTATACCCTTGCCTCCCCTATTTCCTACTGGCTGGGTACTCCAGGTTCACAATCTTATCAGAAGGCAATTACATTTGTTAATTACTTGTTAATTTATTTGTTATTTGGTGTCAGTCCTATCATCTCCAAGATGTCTCAACACTCTTCTTGTTCATTATTGATAAGGTGATTTTCTTCAGAGTCTTTGTTAAACAAAGAGTACAGAGGGGAGGTGCCCGATCTTCCTCCACACCTTCTTCAGGCACTCCCTGAGGCATGTAAGGAATTGTCCTTTTTATGTTCACAGGACACTCTTGCAATGTGTGTGACATGTATTTTCAATGCTGGCTATACATAAGTTGTTACTATCTTATATATATATCCTTTAATTCTCTATTCTTATAATTTACTCCATCTACCTAATCTCTACATATATATATACACACACACAAATTACTTTACTTATACACTGAGTATGTGTTGTTGGGGAAGACTTATCTAGGGGATTAGCAATTAAAACTTATCAGAGAACCCCAATAAAGTAGAAAGGCCCCTGAAAAGAACTATTAGTTCTAATAAAGGACCCAAATGGTAGAGAGGCCAGAAAATTAACAAAATTCTTATTTTGTTCTGATGCAGAAACAACATTCAATTCCCACACCCTGGAGATGTTCAAGGAACGTGTAGATGTTGTACTAAGGAACATGGTTTAGTGAGCAGTATTGTTAGTGAGTGCACTGTTGGACTGGATAACCCTGGAAGCCTTTTCCAACTATAATAATTCTATAATTCTATGATCATTGTTAATGTTGATTTCCTTCCATTCTGCACAACTCTATGTTTGAGAGAAAAAAAAAAGTTCTCATGCCCTGAAGCCAAAGCCCATAAACGTAAAGTCCAATGAGTGATTTAGACACAACATTAATGTATTTAGTACCTCTCCTAGAGTCTACCTGAGACTGTGACTTACCTTTGTACTTGATGCATTTCTTGCTAATCAGAAGCAAGAGGAAGAATGTTGCCCTGGATACTGTGCCACCATCTCTTTCCAAGGGAGTTAGTGAGATCTGCATCCTAGTGAATGAAGAAATTTGTAAAGTGGCCTTGTTTAGCACTGACGCTGCTTAGTTATTGAATGTATTCTGTGGCTTCTGACCTCAGTAAGGTGAACTAGCTCTTCCAGTTAGCTCGTCTGCCTTTCTGTGGAAGTGTAGTGAAAACTCATCAGTGTTTGAGTGAATCAGCTGTGTGTTATGCAAAAGAATGAGGTTGAACTCATGGGCTTGAGTTATCATGTACTCCACAAAATGTGCTACGAGTATTTCATCTGGGGTGGTGAATTCAGAGGAAATGGCAGGCTTCCAGCTTGAGCACTTGTTCCCAAAAACTGGGAATATATTTCGGAAAGATGTTGTACCAGGAGAACTATTTTTCCTCGTATGGCTTTTATTGAGTCACATAATGCTGCTGTGTTTGGGAAATCCTACAACATCTTTATCTGTAACATGCTCCTATCTCATTCTGTATATCCCTGAATTTAGTCCCTTGTCAGCCCCAGTTTCTCAATCTCAAGTTATTTGTACCAAGAATAAACCTTGAGGCTAGATATGAAGTGCATGTTTGCAGTGTGTTGCATCACTTGTTATCTGTGAGGAGGTCAGTTTTCAAGAAAAGTGTAAATGGTACAACATATTGAATTACTTCCATGATTTTCTGAATGCAACCATATGTTTTGTAGGAAAGGTAATGGAATTAAATAGTTTGTGGTACTTACCTGAGCCTAGGATTATTTTTTTTCCCCTTCTGTCTCTGGCCATGCAGCTTCCTGATCAAGCAGAAGGAAGTAAAGTCACTGCACAGAAAACAAAATCTGCCTATTTAGAAGGCTATTGAGATCCTAGAATCCTAGAATCACAGAACAGTTTGGGTTGGAAGGAAACTTAAAGTTCACCCAATTCCAACCCACCGTCTGCAGGCAGGGTTGCCACCCACCATTTCAGGCTCCCCAAGGTTCCATCCAACCTGGATGGGGCATCCACAGCTCTTTGGGCAGCCTGTGCCTCATCGCGCTTTGAATGAATTCCTTCCTAACATCTAAAATAAATTTCCCCTCTTTTAGTTTAAAGCCATTCCCCTTGTCCTGTCACTGTCTGCCTGTGCAAATAGTTGGTCTCCCTTCTGGCTGTTAGTTTCCTTCATGTACCGGAAGGCTGCAAAGAGGTCTCCCCCAGAGCCTTCTCTTCTCCAGTCTGAATAAGCCCAGCTCCCTCAGACTTTCTTCATAGGAGAGATGATGCAGCCATCTGATGATCTTTGTGTCCCTTCTCAGGAGTCAATCCAGCAGCTGCACATCTCTCTTACGCAGGGGGCCCCAGGCCTGGAGGCATTACTCCAGATGGGGCCTCACAATGGCAAAGTAGAGGGGGACGGTCACCTACTTCTCCCTGCTGGCCGCTTTTGTGCAGCTCAGGATGCAGTTGGCCTTCTGGGCTGCCAGCACACACTGCAGGATCATGTCCAGCTTTTCATCCTCCAGTATCCCCATGCCCTTCTCTGCAGAGCTGTTCCCAATGAGTTCTTCTCCCAGTCTTTACATGCCTGAGGTAGCCTTGACTCAAGTGCAACAACTCACATTTGGCCTTGGTGAACATTGTTAGGTGTTCATGTGCCCACTCCTCGAGCCTGTCCAGGTCCCTCTGGATGTCATCTGTCTTGTCCCACACAGTAGGTTTAGAGGGAGGTGAATCCTTTTCTGTCTCCTGAGTCACACCTCTTCTAGTCAGCAGGGGTCTGCAAGTCATCCTAGACTCAGAGGAATAACACACAACAACTTATTGAAATCTTTTTTAACAACAACTAATGCTCTCAGAGGTAACATTGGCTAATTTGCTAATTATGATTAATAGGAGTTACAGGTAAGAAATTATTAGGCAATGGCTACTGCACAGAGTGAAAGAGTAAAAGAAGATAAAGAGAAAAGATTTTAAAAAATGAGGAAAGAGACAGACAGACAGATACACAGAGCAAAGTGGTTCACTACTCCTTGATCCAACTATGTCTCGGTGTCAGGTGCTGATCTCCACTAGTGGTGGGTCATCCAGAGATTGTGTTGGTCAGCTGATGACTAATGACGACATTACAAACTCATAGTCCAAAGAGCTGAGGCTGCTCTTCTGCAGTGATGGCTCCTGGCTTCAGGATCTCAGCAGAAACTCCCTTGTTACTGTCTTCTAGACCTTGCAAATTTAAGTCAGCAGGTAGAGGAAGAAGGGAAAAGCCAGCTTCTATTTTGCCTTCATGAGATACAGTAGTATCATCTCCAAATCTCTTGTATCAGCTGGTTTCATTTGCTCTCAGGACAAATCTTCAGCCAATAAACACTCCTGGGCCTTCCCCTGCAAAGGCAAACAAGTCCAAAGAAATGCTTTCAAATGTAGAACTGTCCGCAAAGTGATGCTGATTGCCAAATGCTGATTTGAGACATTCCTTACCTGTCTCAGACAACATCCCTTCCTTCTATTGTGTCAACTGCACCACTCCGCTTGGTGTCATCAGCAGGCTTGCTGAGTGAACTCAATCCCATCATGATACAATTTCAATGGGGCTTGTGCTAAGGAAGTTTCTGAATGTTTTCTGCTGATCTTGGATGGTGTTGGGAAACACTAGGTGTGACTTTGATCAACTTCCTGAGTGCATGGGATAGTCACCTGCATGTGGGTGGAGAGGCAAGAGCTTCTGGTTTCAGCCCAAACCAACTATCTTAAATTATGGGGGATGGAGACACTCATTTACTCTTTTTTTATTGATGTGGAAACATTATGCACATAAAATCTGAAAGTGTTCTTTACATTTAGTATGGGTATAATTGCAGCTTTACATGGCTTTTGCCTCTATTTTCCCCATTTCTCTCCCCCTCTTGTTCAGTAATGGTAAGCTCCATGTTAAACGTCATATGATTCAATGACACATGTGTATGTATTTATAGGAGGTGCCTAGTTACTCTTCTCAGACTTCACTGGACATCCCTTCTCAGAACCATTGTACATCTCAAAGAAGTTTCCTGCCATCATGATGACTGGAGGCTTGTCTGACCCTAAACCTGCTACTCCAGAGGTCCAGCATATTGCTGACCAGGTGAGTTGAACCCTGCCTGAATTCCGTGATGAATTCTGTGTAAAGGGCTGAATCTTGAATCTTGTGCGAAGCTAGAAAGACCAAGTGGTGATACTGAGTGTTTAAACTGAAGAAGCTGAAAATGGGGATCTCTGTGATTGCCAGTGCGTATTTTCTCAGCATTTTGGAGAGGCACTGTGCCAACAAGATGAAGCCAAATCACTTTTCTTTCTTTGTCTGTGGATAGGCATAGTGGTGGCTACCTTTAGTTACTTCTTGCATATAGGTAGAAGATCAATCTACCATGTCAGCACTGAGGTATTTGAAGGGAGAAAATTCCTCACATCATTGATAACCTGCAGATCCCGTTATGCTCTGTGGTGTAGCAACTCTTAAAGTGCTATAAGGTGCATCCCAAGGAGCTGGAGAGGGACAAAAAGGTACAACAAAGCTCCTTTCATGACACCTACCAGGTGATTCCAGCAGTTGCCTTCACCCTCACAGTTCTGAGGGATGAGTTCTTCCCTCTGCAAGCTGCCCACAGCGTAACTTAAGCCCTCCTTGAGGAAATGCATGTAAGAAGCAGAGTGGCTGAAGATGCTGGCTGACAGTGCTGCACACTGCTGCGTGTGCAGGGCTCCAGCTCCCTTTTTTGAGGTGCCTTAGGGGATGGTGTTTGTACCGGCACTGCTCTGTGTTTCCTGCAAGCTTGCAGGCTGTGAGCAAGCAATGAAGGAGCCAGAGTAGGAGAGCTGGGCTGTGTATGGGGCAAGGCATAGCCAACAGGAGATCCTGCCAATAGGCTGTGTAGGCTGGACATATAAGTGGGGAAGGGTTGGAGTATGAAGGAAGGAGATAGTGGGTAATGCAGACAGGCTGGTCAGTGGGGAGGTCATTTACTACAAAACAGAAAGGGGAAGGGTTATCTAAAATTGTTTGGGAATGTGAATTGAATTGTTTAGGAGCTGTATCACTGTTCCTTCTATGTAGAACACTGTAACAACTGTAGAGAATAATACGAATAATATGGTCTCTGCTACTCTCAGTATCTTTGGGAAAATGAAAATGAATTATTCTTCACCATTTATTTTCTACAAGGTGAATGTCTGCCTTGTGCTGAGAGCGGGAAAGAGAAGTCTCCGTGGTCCTCCCAGTGGCCCTGATCCTCCCCCTGCAACCCTTTCACTGGCTCTGTTCCTTTGCAGAACCTCACACACTGCTGCAGAGCCCCTCTTGAGGTTTCATAGGAAAAATACTGAGAAGGCATGAGTTGTGTTTGGGCAGCCCTGCTGTGCTCCCAGCTGGATAAACGTCACTCTTTAACAATGTCATTCTGTATGGTTTTATGCTCTGCTAAGAGTGGGAGCAATTGGTATGATTTGAATGCAGTTATGAAAAGTGTCTACAAACTGTGGTATGTTCAGGACCTGTCAGCTCTTGGGATTATGTGGTTATGTACTTGCACCTTTGCCTTCTCTGTAGCCTAATCCTTAGCAAGCTGGGGGATGTTGTTTGTTCAGTCTCGTTGTTTTATAGCTGTTGCCTAAAACTGAGGAAAACTGAGGAATGTTTGGGGTTTAAGCAGTTGTTAGATAAGGGCTTAGAAGCAGCTTTTTTTCCATTTGAGAATTAAGAAGCTGCCTGTCTGCGTGCCTGGTTTTACGGAAGGCTGTGACAAATGAGGAAATAGTGGTCAGAGTTCGTGAGACATCCTAAGTCTGGAGAGGGGCAACACTGATGTTTTTTTCTACTGAGGCAGGAACCAAGTGTACCAAAAACACCACAGTTAACTTCTGCCCCTAGCAGCCTCCAAACCCACCTGGCTGGAACGGGACTGGAAATTTTCCTGTTTTCCGGAGTCAGCAGCTCCTGAGCTGGAAGTATAACTGTCTGCTGTCTGGGACAGAAGCCACATGGAGAAGCCTCATTAGTGTGCAAGAGGAGCAGATGGCTCTGAGCAGTTACTTGAATTAGAGTAAGAGGTTATGAGAAACCTGCATATGATTAATGGAAGTTATTGGAAGAAACGTTCAGATGAGGGACATGGTTTAGTGAGAAATATTGGTGATAGGTGGATATCTGGACTAGAAGATCTTGGAGGTCTTCTCCAACCTTGGTTGGAATGGAACTTGATTATTCCAAAGCTACATTATCTGCAGTTGCTGTGTAGCAAATGGCTCATGATGTTTACACAGGTCTGGCACTGACCTGTGGCAGGATACAGTTTATCTGGACAGCTTGTAGGGAAAAAATCTATGAGGAAGACTAATTGTAGATGAGATGTTAAAGAGTGCTGGAGGTAATATTTAAAGTAGGAAAAAGAGCTGAAGACTTGGATGTACACTGAGTTATTTTGGTGGTTCAGGGTTTATTTCATTACGGGTGTATGCTTGGAAAGCTGAAAATTTGGAGTAGTTGTCAGGAAGGAAAAGCTAAAATATGAACCTACCAACCATTTTTCCCCTTTCTTTTTACAGGTGAAGCCACAATTAGAAAGCAGGGAGAATGAGATCTACAACATCTTTACAGCCATAATATACCGGACTCAAGTGGTTGCTGGAATCAACTACTTCATTAAGGTTTGTACATATGATAAGAGGGACTATTTTGTAGTTGAACAGTGTAGGTGACTTGCTTCCATTTCTTGCCACCATGCAAATATTTCTCTTATGGGACTAATGGAGGTAGGAGTATCTCCATATATTTATAAAGTTCTTCTGTCACCACCATACAACAGGAATATAAAAACTTAAAAAGCATGCACAGCTTCTTCAGATGTGAATGATAACTTCTTGCAGGATCATCTCAGAGACTATGGATTGCCTTATCAGCTCAAATTATCTCTACCAGCCAGAACTCTGCTCCTTTTCTTTTCAAGGCAATACAGGGGCTTTCCTATTGCCTTTCCGTTCCCTGGTAGGGATTATTTCAATTAATTCCAGGTCAGCCGGAGGATCTGATGGGGAAATATTATTTTAATGTAATGCAAGCATCCCAGATTCTGCTGACAAGGGCTGCATGCAGGCATGTGTCCATGCTTTAGTTCTGTGTCATCTATTGCAGAGGTACAGCCTGCATGCTAGTTCTTGCTTTATTTAAAAACAAAAACAGTAACAAAAGACAATAAAACAACAAAAAAAATTCAACAACCAAATCAACAAAAAAGCCAAGACTTTCATTTGTGAAAGAACGCTTCACTTGGAGTCCTCTGATAGTGTGATTCATTCTCTTCTGGAAAAGCTTACCCATGGATTTGAGCAGCTTTTTCAGAACTAGCATGTAAGAAGTTAAAGAGCGTAGTTTGCAATCAGAATGGAAGGCAGGAAAACACTGCTAAGAGGAGGCTGGCTTTCTGTAAGTAGAGCAAACACTGCATCTGTGTGTGGCTGTGTGTCAGCCACTTGACGTGCTCCCTTGACGTGAAGAGAATTGGCAGTTGGGGTTTGGGGGGCAGTGCTTCTGCAGAGACACAAGCATTTGCTCTCATGTTATTTGATCCGTGGAAGGACAGACACTGCCAAACTCTCCTTAAAATATCTTCTCACAGTTAGTTCTACATTCTCGGGGCACTGGGGAATTGTCATATTATATGGCTAATCTGAGCTCTGCTTAAATGAATGTTTATCCTTGTCTTGCTCCTGTGAGACGAGCCTTCATTTTTTGGGCACAGTGCTGATGAAGAGTAACAATTCACAGAAAGCTGTGGTAACGCTAGAAGTCATGTGTGGTTGCATTTCTTCCCTCAGCGCTGTCTTATTGCTGACTTAGGCAATCACATTTAAGTACTTGCCTTGGTTCCATGCTAAGCCTCATGACCAAGCTGCTCTTAGTATTGACTGGCATGAGCTCTGTGACAAGAGCCATTCTTTGCAATACTTTGGAATTTTCCACATTACTAATATTTTACTAACAGACTTACAGCTGAGATGTAATCCAGACCAAGACATAGTGCCATGCTGTTGTCACCAGAAAGCATGTGAAGACCTGTTAAAGCCAAAGGCATTAAAATTTTCTTTCATACTGTGGACCTCTGTAAGAGTTAAGCACCTGTTGTACTTGGCTCTGCACAGAGGAAATAATGCACAACTTTGTAGGAAATCTTTGTAGGGACTTTTCTGGAGGGAAAGGCAAGTTCATTAAAAAAAAATTAATTCATAAACTCGTGGTCATTCCTGCAAGCACAAATACATGTCACGTTGCCTGGCCAGGCACCAATGTGTTTGGAGTGATTCTGAAGACAAGAGATTTGGCTTTCAATTGTCACTGCTTCTCTGCAGTGTTCCTTAGAACCATGTGCTGGTTTTGGATAGTTCTTTCTGTATCTTGTAGGAACTCTCCGGGTCTTGTCCCCACTCTGAGTCATTAGGATTTGCTTGTTGGCTTTTGTCTACTGATCCAAGAACTCTGAGAAGTTTCAAGCTGATGGACTGAGTGGAATCTTGATGAGCTAAATAGATAGGATGCCATCAAAACATATTTCCTATTATTCCTTTGGGTGCTTCCAAACCTGGGCAGTCCTCATTTTCCATTAACATGAATCTGAAGTTTCTATAATGGTTTATTACAGTCTCTATTGCATAGAAACATAGTTTCTATCATGATTTACAGCCCAGACTTGATTAAGAATTGTTTAAGTGGAATTGAAGATATGCCTAAAATTAAGCTCTGACAGAACATATTCTTGAGTTTACAC